TCTATTTTTCAGACAAGAATGAAGAGACACAGGAATCACCCCCCTCAACAACTGCAGAAGAGCCAGAGCCTGTTCCATGTGTCCTGCAAGGAGATGACATCCAGGTGCTTGCCATTAAGGTGGAGGACCTGGAGAAAGTATGTATTGGTACTGATAGAGCTCCCTCACCTGACACCGATTCTGTGTGTTCAACAGGAGTCCATTTACTTCGAGCAGAACTCAACTCTTGGGGTTCAATTCCCACTCCGTTTGTCCTGCTTCTTATGACTTGTCAGTTCAGTTGCTGAAAGTAGAGGATTACTGATCCTTACACAACCTCTTCAGATAGAAGTCATCTGCATCTTCACAGGTATGGTTCCAACCTTCCGGTCTAAAAAGATAATGGAAGTTGTTCAGTAGCTGTCATGGCATCCCTTCCAAAACTGGGGTCAACCTGTGTGAGTGGAAGCACTTGACACCAAGTGACACAGCAGAAAACTATTGGGAAAGTGATTTAAACCTCTCTTCCCTGCCCCGCTTGTAAGAATGAGCCAATAACTGAGCTGGTATCTCCACAGTTGTGTAACATGCCTCTTAGGGGAGGAACAGCCTGCACTGAATGACTGTGCATCCTAGAAGGATGAGTAGCATGTACCTGATTGCATTGTGACTGTTTCTTTCCTGAAGCTTCATGCTCCGTGCCCTCCCCAAGGTGCTGGGAAGGCTTCAGTCAGGAAGAAATACTTTTGTTCAAAAGCACCAACACAAAGAGACAAAGGAGACGCAGCTCCTCGTGGTGTATCCTGCTTCCCCAGACCTGCCCACAGCGCCACTGACACTTGCTGGTAGGGTCAAACTTCACATCTTACCTTTTGGGGGTTGGTTTTGCTGAGCCCAGCTCTGGTGAGCTGGCTCTGGGGTCGGTGTTTTTGTGTGTGTTGTAGGAGCAGGACAGTTTGGTGATGGCTGTGTGTTGCCTTCGTAGGCATGGCGACCTGTTTCGACCAATCCCAGGCCGCTCGGGCCATCAGCTCACAGACACCAATGTGGTGGATGGCAAATGGTGTGTGTTGGTGAACAACACGGCCTTATATTACTTAGGTTGGGAATGTCACTTCCGTCTGCTTACGTTTAAATCATAGGCTAAACGTTATTGTCTATCTGGAGAGGGGTCCTATCTTTCCGTACAGCACGACATCTTCCAACCGACAAGCCCTAACTGCCAACATTTCCCCCCTCCATATGCTTCTAAAAAATATATATCATAACTTCACAATAAGAAATATAAGGCACGCTAAACAAGTGGCAATTGGGGGATGATTGGGGGTAACAAGGTATAATCTGGGGCGACCAGGGATAACCAGCGATAACACTAAATAAGTACAACTAAGGAGTAATTGGGGTAACGGGGTGTAACTTGGGACAACCAGGGATACCCGGGGATAACACTGAATAAATACATTCTTAAAGTAATTGTTGGTATTCTACCAACATGATGTTAACCTGTTCTAGCCAGCTCCTAACAAATAACATGAGCTGATTTAATATACAGGGTCCGAAGACCAATACTATCATGAACATTCTACTTGCCTTACAGTAACAAACCCCAAAATCAAAATCACACAAAGGCACCGTAGCCCCCTCCCTTGGGGGCTTTTTCACTGTTGTGTAAGTTCCACCGGGGTGAAGCTCCCGGGTACGGACGGGATGGCTGGTGACTTGTCCTCCTCTCTTGTCACTGGGGCGTACGAGTTACGGGGGTGTCCGATGATCTGATCCTATAAACAGAAACTCACAATTTTCATTAGCTTTATTCTGAAGGTCTGGTTTAACAGATTTAAGCAGACACCACTTAACTCTGCCATCTCTTCTAACAGCGGCATACCCTCGCCCTGTAAGGACTAGCCTCCATCCTTGTTCCCATTCTCCCAGCTCATTTCTAATTATGACTGGCAGGCCTTCTTCTAGCGTTCGAGTGGCCCAATGTTTTTGGGTGGGGCTATTTACCTCCTCCCCCCTGGGGGATTGATTAAGTGCTAACAAGGCAGTCACCAGCAGGCGTGCTTGATCTTTTGAGAGAATGGTGTTGGCAAAACCTTCTGCTTTTGCTAATACCTCTAATTTAGATTTCAGAGTTTGATTCGCTTGTTCAACTATGGCTTGTCCTGTGCTATTGTACGGGATTCCGTACGTTAAGGTAATATCCCATTTTAACGCAAATGCCTGAACTGATTTAGAAACAACGGACCATTGTCCGTTTTAATCTGATTGGGGACACCAAGCCACGCCATAGCAGTTAGCCAATGTTGGATGGTCGCTTTGGAGTCAATTCTAAGGTGTTGTGTGGCTATGATTACTCCACTATATGTGTCTATGGTTACCACTAGCCATGCTCGAGGTTTTAATAGCTGACAAAGCATAAAACCCGTCTGCCACACCTCGGAGGCCTTAAGACCTCTGGGGCTGACTCCACTGGACCACAGTGGTGCTTTATGACAGTAGGGACACGTGGCTACTACGTGTTTCGCATCAGTAACTGAAATCCCACATTTCTTTGCTAGCGCTTTAGCTCCAATGTGGAGAGACTCATGTAGCTGACGGGCGTCTCTTAGTGT